GCCCTGGCTTAAAGCCTCCACAGGAGAGTCTGCGGTTTAACAATACAATAACATCACCCCTCCCCTTAGGGGTACCATAAAAGGTCCACTTATGCAGAAAAGGGTGCTTGCTTTGTGTTTTTTAACCCATGAGAGAAAGCCCTTCATTTCTATCCCACAGTGAGGTACCCAAATTCCCTGCAATCCTCTGGCAGAGAAGGGACAGATTTAGCCTTAATGTGGGGGGGGGGGAATCCTTCTTGGGTGGGGAGTGGGGCCTCCACGAAAGGCTGATCAGCAAAAATCTTGACAAAATATTTGTATAGCTAAGCAACATAGTTATCTCTGGTCCATTCCAGATCATGGTGGTTGATACTTCCTACCACCTTTCTCCTCTGAGGCCTTACCATCTGTTGAGTGTGCTTCCTCCAATCTCTGCCCCATGGTAGATAGGGGTTTGATGTAGACCAGGTTTCTACCAGCTCTGTGTGTGTCTTGGGCGGGGCGGGGGGGAGGGTGACTGGTGGGGGGAAAGGTGAATTCTGTGCCCTTAGATAAAGGTAATATGCATGAATCAATTAGGTCTCTTTTTATTGCAATTTACAGACATCTAATTTGACCAGATTAAGAGAGAGGAAATTCATTGGTTTATGTAGCTGGGAAGACTACTGGGGTAGTTAGCTCTTTCAAAGAATATTCAATAAGGTCTGGAACCAGAGATCTAATGCTATTTGCTCTAACCTTATTTCTGTTAGTCTCTCAATTCTACTGCTCTCTGATTGGTTGCATTCTATATATAGCCTCTTTCAGCTCTGCTGGAGAAAAAGTATTTCCCTCAGCATCCTTTCACATATTCTAAGTCAGGACTGTTGGTTTTGCTTCTGTCACGGGCTCCTGTCTTGTAGCAATCGCTTTTGGAGTTCAGCCCAAAGACACAGAGTAGGGTCTGGGACCAGAAGCAGAGGGGTGGGTTGAGAAATTTTGCTGGCTAACAAAAAGAAGCAAACAAATAAAAACAGTATCTCCAGCAGTTCTCTCTGCAGAGTGTGCATGCATCCTGTTCCATCTCTCTCGGTCAGTGAGGGCTGAAGCCTGTTTCTTCCTGAGTTTACCCAAGTGCAAACACAATTACCATGAATATATTCTCCCGTGAAGAATGTGTATTCCTGCTAATCACATGGAGCCATTGCTCTGGCACCATTCCTTTTGAAATGATATCTCTGGGGCGCCTGGGTGGCTCAGTTGGTTAAGCGACTGCCTTCGGCTCAGGTCGTGATCCTGGAGTCCTGGGATCGAGTCCCGCATCGGGCTCCCTGCCGAGCAGGGAGCCTGCTTCTCCCTCTGACCCTCCCCCCTCTCAGGTGCTCTCTGTCTCTCTCATTCTCTCTGTCTCAAATAAATAAATAAAATCTTAAAAAAAAAGATATCTCTGGTATCGTTTATTGAAAGTACATTTGCCTTATTGTTGGACTTAGCCATTTTGAAGGGCCTCCCTTTAGCTAAAGATGCTTCTGTCTGTGCAACAGTGAGTGGATGCGTCTTTTATCAGTATTTTCTTTCAGAACCTCAAGTTTCTCTCCTGATGATGGTGGTATATGTATATTTCAGTTTTCCTTATTACAGTTCCAAATGGACAACTGAAAGTGTGCCCTTTTTTGAGGAAATAAAGAGAAAATTTGGTTTCAAGATGTGTCTTTCAGAAAAATTCACAAAGAATGACATGGAGTGTCTTTTCAGAAAGCAAAACAAAAATTCACTAGAATGCCAACTAAATATTTCTTAACCTGAATATTAATTTCCCCCTCAATCCTCCCTTAGTACTTCAACCTCAGAAATTAATTGCTTAAAATAGTTTGGGAACATAATAGAAGCAAAGCACAAGCATGAAAATGGACAATCGACTGGCTATTTAGATTGGGGAGAAATGAAAGGATAGTTTATTTTGACCTCTTAGTAATTGCTAAAAATAGTAATGACTCATTTGATGGTGGACATTAGTATTGAATAAGAAAGTGGCCCAAATGCAGAGAGTAACCATGCTATGATCCAGCTCACCCATGTGGCACAGTTTATGGTACTTTGTCAGTTAATCTGGGGAAAAGGGATCTACAGGTGGGATACTTTCCCAGGAAGGTCAAGTATTCAGGCACAAGGGAGAGAACTTTCTTCCCAAAACTTGTTGCTGATAACCAAAGGAAACAGATATACTTCTTGCTTCTTTTGTGACAGAGAGCTATCACTATGGGCATGTAATATTTTTGTTAAATATCATTCTTCTTGAGGCCATTGATTATTCCTTTTGTGAGAAGAAACATCCACTAATTTCAAACATTACCTTAGAAAGGAAACAGACAACTTACATAAAATAAATCATAGAAAGCCGATGAACTGAGAATTCCTTTGCTGAAAGCCAATTTGCCAAATGACCAATTTGCCTAAAGCGAATTTGCTAAAAATCAATTTACTGGATGACCTAATCTCCAAATTATTGAGGATAGGACCAAATTTTGGTTCCACCACTGGTCCTACTTCTGCCACTGCTCTTTGTTGTCATGTTTGCCCCAGTTGGGTCTTTGCCTTTGGTAGCAAAACAGCTACCAAAACTATGCAAATGCCTGTTTCAAGGTATTTATCAGACAGTCATTAGAGGCTATGTCATCTGTTTTAGAGAAAAGGAAACTGAGGTTTACAAAAGTTAATTAACTTGCTTATTTCAGTCAGTTAAGTTGCCATACGCATTATGTACACAGATTTCTCTGGGTCCGAGGCATCCACTCGCTCTTAACCATCATTAACCGTTATATTGTTATTCACTCATTTTTAGAGTATTTCATCCTGCGACCATACCTAGGAAGAACCAGGGCAAAACAAGTTCATAATGACCAGGATCTTTTAGGAAAAGAAAGGAAATACCAGCATATTAACCAATGCTCTGTGAGGGAGTGGCATATTTGGATTGATTAAATATTCTGTTTAAAATAATTATCTGTACTCCATCTTGGAGATAAATATAACAGAAATACACAACTCTACATCTATATGGAAAGAATGGAATTTTATTGTTTATTTTAGGTTGATTTAAAAAATATCGCTGAGCTTGGAGTCACTGTTCTGATCAAGAGGAAGCCAGATTCAGAGTTCATACGTGGAACAAAGATCCAACAAATATTTAAAATCCTGAGAGTACAAGGTTATAAATTCATTTGATAAATGGTATCAGCTGTCAAAAAATGTTACCAGTCAGTAACAACTTACTCATTGTTACTTATTAGTGTTATCAGGAACTTTTGAGAACAGTCCTGGCAACTGGGATGGGGAGGGTAATCTTACTTTGGAATAGTAGCTCATTGATGGAGTCACATCTTCCAACAGGTAAAGGATGCTGTCCCTGCCCACAGAGTAAGAGCCTAAGGTACAATTCAATAACCTGTGGTCAACAGTGAAACTGAAGCTGAGATGTTACAGAGGTGATGTACTGAGGCATTCATGAGCCCGGGCAAATTCATGTCATTTTTTCCTGGGAACTATGGTACAGAAGAAACAATCCATTCATATCACCAGATATAATGCCTGCTCTTTTGCAAGGGAGGATATTTTTCTGACTAAGTGGTTATTGGCTCTTTAGAAAAAAGAGGATTTTTAAAACCTCTCCTGGAATTTAGGTGGGAAACAGGATCACTGTGCCAAATACGGCACACTGGGGTACCTATGAATGAATTAGAAAATGGACTCCATCAAGGATAGGGATATATTCAGATTGGCTGGGAGAACCTGGGCTGGATCCAGCTCCCCTGTCGCCTCGGCTGAGAGTCTTTGTGTGGGGCACAACCTGTGTAACCATGTTTTCCTTCCCCATTAAAAACTGTGACCAACAAAAAAAACCATACTATTTACAATCTAGTTTCCAAAAGTCTGTTCCTCGTGTCAAATTCCATATTCTCATCAAATATTTTATAATTAAGTACTAATTACTTTCTAATTGCCTATTTGTTTTGTTTCTTATTGATTTTAAAGTAAGTGTATTTTAAAGTAAGTTTTTTGGTATAAAATGGTCCATGCTCATTATATCTATATATGTATCTCTTTATATAAAGTAACAAAAATGGACAGAGAAAAAATGAAAGTCTTTCCCCACTCCCAGTCTCATCTTCTGGAAATATCCACTATAGGACTAGGCCTGAGAGGGAGGGTAAATAACTTGCCCAAGCTCTACCCACCAGTAAGCAAGGGTTTGACTCAGGCCCTTTGACTCACGGTTACTCTCTAAAACTCTACATTCCATTGCCTCTTAACAATTTCAATGTCTTCATTTTTTTTTCCTTTGGATTTTTCTCAGTTATTGCCATAGAAAAACTTCATTTCTCTTACTTTCACCCTCTCTTCCTTTTGCTAGTTGGGAATCCCATATGGTTCCGGTCAAGTCAAGCAAGTACAAGAATAGAGCTAATGAAATATCTTCATTAAATAAAATCAAAGTTTTATCTTTTGTAGTGAGATTGACAGTGACAGGAAGCGACAGCATCAACCTTAAAATATCTTGAATCCTCTTCAGAATCTATAATGACATCTTCTACTTTCTCTTTCTCTTATAATTAAAATTTTAATTTAATTTACCTTAAGCACTAATGTTCAAGGGAAATTTCTTATTAAATTTTATTGTACCTCTTATTTTCCAAATTTATAGCAACTTCTACCTCACTTTGTATGAATGAACTTGAATACTGCTTCAGACTTCTTTCTTAAACTCAAGTACCTCTTTGGAACACATAAAGTACATAAAGTATGGAATAGAATCATAAAAGTGGCTCTATTTCTATGTAGTTGATTGATTTATAGAAGGAGCTTCATTGCACTGTAGTCAACATAATATGCACTACTGGATTATATTACACTTATTTAAATGTTTTCTAGTATGTGATCTCTCATCCTTTTAAGTAATTTTTCTTATTGCATTTTGAAATTCTCAAGAGCAGAACCTCTTTCTACTGCATGGCATGTCTGTTTACAATATAGACTTCACACAGGTTTAATAAATTTTATTAAATTTTGTTATATAATTAGCCATCAGATGTGAAAAGCTTTTCTACAGAGCTATTTTTTATAACATGATAAGCTCTTACATTACGGACTTTATTTATGATGGGTATGTAGTAAGTTTTACTAATTTTATCCAAAAGTTTTAGGATGATACATTTTGGAAGGAAGCTGGGGTAAAAGCTTCAGTCCAACTCCAAGCATCTGGTCCCTGATTCAGATCACCTCTGGCCTTGTTTTCTTGCAGCATTGATTGAGAAGGGTGAGACTCCAGGAATCCTGGTCTGCAGAGTTGTGGCTCCTCCTTTGAGAGAGAATGCACTCTATGAACGGAGAGTTTATTTTTTCACATGTAGCTAAAAAGTAGGGAATGTTATTCACTATAATGATTACTATGCTGTTTTAAGATTAAATGTGGACCTAGCTCTAATTATAACTTACAACATTTAAGTTCTGAATTTTTAAAAGCCACGTGTTTGTCCCTACTGATTTTTTTCTCTTTTATACAGTTTTATGTATTCCTGCATTTTTAACTTGCAAAAGCAGCATGATACTTAAGATCTTGTATTGTTTCTTTTTTCCTTTTCGTAAGACTGTGTTTTTAAGATCTACCCATGTTTGCTATTTGCATTTCCAGATCATTGCTTCTAAGCAAGGCATAACGTTTTATAGTATGCATGCACCATGCTTTACCAATCTATTCTGTTAGTGATCTTATTTGATTCAAACTCTGCCACCACCACTAATGTGACACGTTCTTCTAAATGTCCCCTTAAGCAACTGTGTGAGCGATTCTCCAGGGATATGCCCTGGAGAGGGATTGCCGGATCATCGGTTACACCATTCCAATTTTCACCAAGTACTGCCAGACTGTGCTTCAGAATGACTACTAGTTTTATTTCCACATTTTTGGCTAACTCCTGGTATTGCTCAATTTCTAGATTTTTACAAATCTACTAAATGTGAAGTAGTACTTTAATTTGCATTTTTTCCTAGTAATTAGTCAGACTGAGCATCTTTACAAATCCTTGTTATTTATGTTCTCATTGAATTTCTCTTCCTGTATCTTGTTCAATTTTTTTTCCTATCAGGTTTCTTATCTTTTTCTTTTTTTGTGTAAGTTTCTTTTAGAATGTAGATACTAATCCCTCATTAGTTTTTGTTTTTGAAGGGTCTTCAGCTTTCCTGGTTCTGTCAGCCCTTAGTCTATGGCAACTGATAAACAGAAACCCCAAATTTGGTTTAGTCTTCATCTTGTTGACCTTTTTGAATCTTGATTAAGAAGTGCTTTTTCATTCCAAAGTCACAAAGATTTTCACCTGCAATTTCTTTTACTGGCCTTACATTTTCTCCACTAATTTTCACATAACAACATAATTTTATTGAACTTCAGTGGATGCTACGGCCTTTCCTCAAGTGAGAGATCTAAACCCCTCCACGATGTAGTAAACCAAATTCAGCATTTGGCCCAAAAGCATATTCTGGAGTAAACCTTTTTTCTTACGTATTTAACTTGAATTTAGATTTAAAAAACTGAAATGTGAGAAAGATTTTTAAAGATGTCTGTGCTTTCTTCAAACAGGAAGGAAGCAAATTTTGAGAAATGTTCACAGTTGTTGGTCTGATTCAGTGACAGTAGGCAGGATGGAGAAGATGCATTCAGACTGACAGCCTCAGAGCAAAGTTGTAAGGTAAGTATATTTGTTTGGATCACAGCAGTCCCATTAAGGTGCAGGAGTTTAAGCACATGCCCTGTTTGTATGAAAAGCATTATTGTTTTCAAACATTTTCCGTTCCTCCCTAGCCGCCTTTCATTTTGTGCCTTTCGAATGATAAAACAACTCACATTTCAGAGCTGTTGCAGTGTTAAAGTTGTGGCTTCATAGAAACCCCAAGCATTTTCTTTTTTTTTTTTTTTTTGCTCTACATTTTGATTTTTTTGTGCGTTTGTTGTCTCTTTTGGTTCTTAAGTTAACCTAATTTATAAATTGAGCCCTATCCATTTCCATTTATTTTTTTATTGCCTGAAATTTGTGTCAAAAAACTCAGAGGATACGGCCCCAGAGGAAACAACCTATTTCCCAATTTTAGATGCTAATTCACTACTAAATTTCTTGGATTCTCATATATGTATTTATTTTTGATCCTACATCTCACCTTGGATGTACAGTCTGGACACGGCATTTATTGGGAGGGTTAGCCTATCCCCAGAAGAGAGGTACACAGGATGCATGGAAAATTTTCACAGCTCCCGTGACCTCTGCCTTTTGGGGAGTTTCTTTCATGTCATTGCCATTCCTGGAATAGCCAGAGACCAGGGAGCAGAGCCCGGGGAGAAGAATGGGGGGCTGATACGGTGACCTCCCAAGCCAGCTGTGCAATCTGCCTCCTTATCTTCCAGAGAACGAGGCCCTGCAGCAGCTGTTCAGTGGAGAGTGCTCAGGACCGCACTGGGGGCCTCTTTACTTGTCTGTTCTTTGATCCCCCCCACTTTTTGTAAGCCCAGATGTGTGCTCAGATGTGAGACAGCTGTTCAAAGGACATCTCAGGATAAAAATCAACTTCTATTCAGTCATTATTATCAATTCTTCAGATATCATTAGTCTAGTAAATATATATGTCATGACTCGAGCAAATCTTCGCTACTAAGCGGGGTATTTTCTCAATGAGGTTACTGTTACCAAAACTTAAAAAAATAATATCCTGTAACGATTCTTATGCTTAAATATATATTTTTAATAATCCCCCTCCTGCCAGGGCTGGTCCTATACCTACCTTGTATAATTTAAGGGGTGTAGAAAAGCTACTCTGTTCATAAATGTTTCACCAGCTTGTTATGAAACCTATAGTTTCCCCCGGAGAGGCCTCCTTTAGGTCAGGCGTCCCCAGCTAAACTCACATGCAAGGGTTGTCTTACAACATGGTCATCTTATTGCCGCCCTGAAATGGGAAAGCATCTTGCTGGGGACAGAAGATGCAAATGGGCATGGGTCAAATAAGGTTCCTGCCCTGGGGGCCCTTACAGTCTGGAGAGGCAGGGTACACATACTGGTGACAAAATAACAAGACGAAGGAGCATCTGTGTAGATCCTTACATCCCCTTGTGTAAATCATCACTTCTGTAGAAATCATCACATTCTGGGAGTTCAGAAAGATCTCCAAGGCCTGGTCCTCAGAGAAAGGGTTTTCGGATGACTAGGTGCTGAAGGCTGACACAGATGAAAGGTAGGGCTTGGGTAAAAGAGAGAAGATAAGGAATATTCTAGACCAGGAACAAAAGTTAATAACGTGGAAACAGGCCAGGCCAGGGTGACTGGAATGGGTGAGTTCATATAAGAGGTTCCCAACAGCGAGTATGCTGTTGAAGACAAAAGCTTGCATAACAAGGTCAAATAAGTGGACATTTCTTGTTTTCTATTTTAGATCTAACCTATGAAAAGCCTGATTTTTAAAATGCACATAAAGCAAAGAGAGTCATTGTGTTTATTATTTAAGCCACAGAAAGACTTAACAAAGCTGTGTATAAATGACACCCAGGGCCTCTCCTAAGCAAAACTGTGAACACATCAAATCTGCCCTTGATTCCCTGACATCCTCTTTTCCTAGGAACGTGATTTATTTCTTTGCTTGCTGTCCCTTCTACTGGAGATGATCAGTCTAAATGCCTTTGGGATCAGCCCATTTTCTGCCCGTCCATGGGGTTTTTATCAGAAAAATTGGGAGAGAAAGAAACCCACTATGCTTTGTCTCCTGCTGTCCCTAGATTCTCCTAAAATGAAACCCTCTTCTCTGGCTCTGCAATCTTCATCCCAGACCGCTCTGTGAACCTCCTCGCCTGACTTCTCTTCCACTGCAGCATCCTTCTGAACTTTTCAGGGTGCCACCCGAATCCTCAGTTACTCCTGGTACCCTCAAACCCTTCCTGTAATGTTTTCGTCCTTCCTGATCTTACTAGAGACCTAGAGGCCTCTTACAGGTACAGTTTCCAAGGCTGCTCATTACACTGAGGTTTCTCATTCCCTCATACACCACATACATACCTTAGGGTGGGGTAACACCCTCCTCCCTTCCCAGTTCCCCCTTCAGATCTTTTTTTTTTAATCCAAATAAAAACACTTAGTCCTTTGAAGCCCTTTATTTCCTTCTACCAACCTAAAGTCTACCAGCCAGTCCGGTGTTTCATCCTGATTTACTACTTTCCCTTCTATTCCAGCTCCTTTCGTCATCCTCAATGACTGCTCACATTGATGTTTAACCCAACATTTTAGCTCGTTTTCTTGATGTCTTCCTTCCAGTGGCCTTTATGTCCAGTTTATCTCAGGTACCCAAACCTATGACCACATTCTGGACATTGGAATCATTTACAGTGGTTCCTTCTCTGGAAGAACACATTGAAACACTCTCCCTATGACTGCAACCTAACTGTCCTTCTAACTCTTCATCCAATTACTAATGCTCTTCTCAACCTTTACCTGCTTAGGGATATCCAGTCTTTTCACTGTTCTACTAATTTTCCAGGTATCACCCCACATGTCCCTTTACTCTCTTTTTACTCTCTTCTCTATGCTGACTGGATGCCATAGTCCTTTCTTTTTTTTAACTACACTGTCATCTAAATCTCTAGAATCTTTAACCCATTGTCCTTTCGTCTCATCCACCTGATAAAATTCCAAACCTGGGTCAATGCAGCCATGTGCTTTCTTCATAATGGCACATTAATTGGTGAACTGTTGGAAACACACACACACACACACGCACACATAACTTCATGGACTGTTGCCACCCAAATTCATGGTTTCTACCTTCACTTGGTCATCCATCCTGCCACATCTCTTCTGGTGCCCCAATTAGCTCCCCTCTATTTCCTGTGATGCTCCTTCAAATCTTCTCCATTAGCCTCTGACTTCTATCGCCCCCACCCGCACCTCCACGGTCTCATTTTTGGCAAATGAGCTTGCCTCTAGCCTCAAAGGAAAAAAGAAAGAAAAAAATAAAAGGAACCCTCTTTTTCTTTCCCAAACCAACAAACTTAGCTGCCTGAGCAACTATTATTCCCTCTTTATCTCCTGTTGAATCAGAGAAGACACCCCTTCTATTCGAGGATTATCTTACTCATGGTGCTTTGAGTCCCATCCTTTTATATGCTGCTGTTATTCAGATTACTAGTCTCTCCTGTATCCCAATCTCCAACCTGCTCACCTAGTTCATCACTTCTTCTCTATGCCTCCTCAATCCCACATCCTCTCTAACTGTGGCTCTGTCACTCTGCTTTGCCTCACCAGCAGAAATCTCCAGAGAGTTGCCTCACCTTGATCTATGCCATATTCACATCCGCATCCACATCCTTGTATCATCTCCCTTTCGCTCTCCTGCCACCTGGTGAATCTGCTCTTTTACAAATATGCAGTTGTTCATTCCAAAGGACATTTGTAAGCCCTCCCCTTCCTTGTCTTCTCTGCAGCACTGACGATTCTGCCTTCTCCCTCTTTTCTGACAAAGTGCCCTCTTGCACTGCAATTTGCTTCATAACAGATGTGGGAACACATCTGCTTGCCAACAAAATCCTCACCCTTACATCCACAATCAAGCTTCCTTTCCCCCTCCTGTTGCAAGAGAAGAGGTGACCTCTTCTTCCTGAGGCTAAGCCTGTCACCCACCGGTCTGAATCCACTCAGCCAGAAACCCAGACCTCTTGACTCCTCCTCTCTTACCCTTCTTGATATAATCAGGCATCATGTCCTACCAATTCTGCCCCATTTCCTGTCTCTTGACTCTCTCCAGTATCCTCATCCCCACTCTAAGCATTTTGGATCAGTGTACCATTATCAGGTCCATACTGTTATTTCAACAGCCTCCAGAGAGGCCAACTTATTGCTAAGCTAATGCTGCTTCAGTATTAAGGTTCTATACTTCCACAGGCTTTGCAAATACCCTGGTCTTAGAATGTTGCATTCTTTGTCTTAAATAGAACTTCCAAATTGCCTCAGCTTTAACACCTACCATCCTTGGGCCTGCCCCCAGGTCCACATACTGTGTTGTCTCCAGGATTGTGCCCAGCTAACCCATGCTCCATACAGCCGACAGTGTGACTATCTGCAAGTGAAAATGATACTACTGTGCCACTTCCTTGCTTAAAAATCTTCCAATGGTTTCCTATTGCTTTTAGGTTTTAGGGGAAAATTCCTAAATACAGCTTTTGGGTTCACTCTGACCTTACCTCTGCTTTTCTCTCTGGAACCCCCTTTCATTACACATTTTACACGTTTTCAGGACATTCTCTTATCTGCAGGGTGGTAAGCAGGGCAGCTTCTATCTTTCTTTGAAGATGAGAAAAATAAAGCTCAGAGAGGATACATAATCTTCCCAGGTCTATGGAACAAATGACTTATGTGGCCGAGATTTGGGCCGAGTTCTTCAGATTCCATTTGCAACTTATTTTTCCATTATAACATGTGGTTTCTATGTACAAATGTGCTCATTCTGCGACTATGCTGAAAACAGAAAAGTCTTTGTAAATCCTGGGTCACTTATTAGTTGGTAAGGTTTTCACAATTTGATTTGGATGTCAACGAAATCAACTGGGTTTTTTTTTTTTTTTAATTTTTAAGTAAACTCTACACCCAATGTGGGGCTCGAACTCATGACCCCGAGATCAAGAATCACATGCTGTACCAACTGAGCCAGCCAGGTGCCTCTCAACTGTTGTTTTTTGTTTTGTTTTGTTTTAATTAATCTTCTAATTATTATATTTTTGTTCCTACAGTCATCTAAATTTTCCTATTAACTTTTTGCAGGCTGACATGTGTTAGGGCATGTGTTTCCCAAACAGATCCATTTATAAAGGGGATGGTTTAAGCTGGGATGCTCCCAGTTCTGTGTGAGGTCATCCTGATTTCAGAATAGTGTACCGACTGAGATGGTCTGGAACTTGCCTGAACTTTTGCCAGGTTTCTTCCTGACCTCTCTTTTCTTAGAGAATTTCCTTAAAAAAACTTGCAATTGTAAATTCTTTCTCTGCCCTCTGAGATGTAAATCTCCCAGAAATATAATAATGCAATATCTTGAAAAGTCTTCCTTGCCATTTTTATCAAGTGTCCAGTATAATTTCTTTTTTGTAGTGTCCACCATTGAGAACTATTTATAAATATATGGAAAAATATATTTGTAGGCACAACACTGATACTGATCTTGGTCCTTTCATTGCATTTCACGTGCCAAAAAGATTTTATCCTATGTATTTGCTACTTGTACACAGAAAAATAATTGATGTATATTTCTCAAAGATCACATCACTATTTCAGGGGAGCCTGGGTGGCTCAGTCGTTAAGCGTCTGCTTTCGGCTCAGGTCGTGATCCCAGGGTCCTGGGATCGAGCCCCGCATCGGGCTCCCTGCTCGGCGGGAAGCCTGCTTCTCCCTCTCCCACTCCCCCTGCTTGTGTTCCCTCTCTAGCTGTGTCTCTCTCTGTCAAATAAATAAATAAAATCTTTAAAAAAAAAAAGATCACATCACTATTTCAGAGTGCATTGATTTTTTTTTTTTTAGATTCCCCCTTTAAATGGATTCTGACAGAGGGTGTCACTTTGGTTACCTTTTTCTCCTTCTAGGTAGTATGTTTTCTTGGCAATGTTTTTCTTAATATAAGAGCAGACAGCATTGTTTTCCTTGCTGATAGTGCCTTGAGTTATTTTATGACATAATTTCATTTGTCTCCATAAAAGTAGGAGAATATTGAGAAGGCTGGAATATAAGGAGAGGCCGTTCAGCCCACCAGGCTCTTTTCCCTTTAATGCACCCTGGAGAACATTTAATTGCTTCTTGAATGACCCCCAAGGTCTTCCTAGAATGAGCTTGTTGTCTTCTTTGTGGAGGAGACCATCCCCATTTCACTCGAACTCATTGTGACTTAATTATAGGATACATATAATAAATTGGAGGCAATCAGTAATCCTTAATCAAACAGGGTAAATTTGTTTCACATGCAAGACACAATGGGCCCTTGTGAAATAGATGGCACACTTTCATTTACTGAACGATACCCAGATTAATTAACTCACCTGATAGCTGTGGTTCCAATTTCCCAACTGCAACTCAAGTCTATCTTATGCTTGCCCTTCTTTCTTCTCTTTCTTGTTATCATTCCATGAAACTGCTCCTTAACAGACTTGCAGATTCAAAGATGATCATTTTGGTCCACATATGTTATCTTGTCATTATACAAAATAAAGCATATATTTATGAATAGCACATAGTATATATGTATATATAGGACATATACATACATATATCTACATGCATACATGCATATGTGTGTGCACAGACACGCATACTCACCCGCACTCGGTGTGGGAAACACTAACATTTCTTTTGATGTGGCATTTCTTTAATTACAACTCCATTACAAATCTTAGTTCAATGGGTCTATATCCAGAATTTTACAGTAATTTCCTCAAGCCTCCAGCAGTGCCTAATCACTTTCTAGAGCAGAGATTTTAGCTGTTTGGTGTCTGCTGGCTGTTTTCCCTGAAAATTACTGTAAGAGATTTAATTGATTTATATTTCATTTATCTTACAAAAAGTTGAGGTTTTTATTAAATTTAAGTGCCTGTTTAGTGCCTCTCATTGTGTATCCTGATTACTTTTGGTGACTCAGTGTAACATTTAATAACTATTAGTTTTCTTTTGGAGAGTTCTTAACCAGGAAACAAGAGTTCTTACAGCTACATAGATAATTAACTTGAAGCTTGTCTGTCTCCTGAGAGACATCAAATATGTAAATGAGGAACTTAAGCCTTAACAAGACATGGTAAGGAAATCACTAAAACTTTTATCACATGAAAGCTAAAATCCGCAGTTAAAAAATATACCAATATGCTTTGAAGAACTAATATATGCTTCTTTGCTTAGGATTTGTGAAATTTATGGGCTTTAAATTCTTTTTCAAAGCTGCAGGAGCTAGTCAGATCTGTTAAGAAAAAAACCAAAGAAGATAATAAGAAAACAAGGACAAGAACCACACTTAAATGTTCCACAATGCTACCATATGATTGGAGCTCAACAAATATTTAATAAACATACACCAAGGTTTTCTCTTTTATTTTACAAAATCCTCATTTGCAGTACCTAACATTGTTCCCATCTTTTAATCATAATGCCTTTCAGAGCCAACCAATACATGATATCTTTGGACTGTTGTTTTTTTTTTTAATTAATTAATTAATTAATTTTTTTATGTAGTGTTCCATGATTCATTAAAGACTTAAAACAGAAGGAAGAGCCATTCATGTTTGATTTTTTAAAACTGATTAACCAGTTCTCTTCATTTTTCTGTACATGCCTCTATTGTATAATGTATCTAAAGAAAAATATGGAGGAAAAGACCCTTTAAATTTCTGAGCTTGTTTTAATATGAAAACATTTTATCATTATAAAAACTTCTAGTTACCTGGATAACATGTTTTTTTGTTGTAATTGATGGATTATGTTTGCTTGAGACATGTGGAACTAGCGAATGGAATGGGTGAAACTGAGAAACTATTTGTAAATTCACCAGAGAATGGTTTTCTTGAAAAGTCGATAGGTTTTTTGATTTTTTTGAAAAGGCAAATCATTTGAAGCTTTTAAAGACAATTTACCTGGCTCTCAGCGGGTTATGTACTTTTAGTGGAATGTACTTCTAATTCTTTCCTCGAGTCTTCAGTTGGGTGTGCAGATTATATATATGCGAGTCTATCGCTAGAGTTAGGGATAACATAGCGGCCCAGACCTGCCCCGGATTTGGACGTGGTTGAACGCCCCTGTGGTTGGTGCGGCGACGTGTGTCCTGTGGGGACAGGCATCCACTTGGGGCTCGCAGAGAGCCACGGCCGCAGTGCCTTTTCCCTCTGCAAGTCCTGGCCACATCGCAGGCCTAACCTGGGCTAGAACCAGGATTAGGATGGAATGTGCATGATTTCCTTAAGGAAATTGTCTGACTCTTACGTAAACACATTAAATAGCACTTGGTCAGGAATAAAGGGCATTTGTGTGCTTGACCAATGCTCCTCCGCCGGAACTCAGTGAGTGCCTCCCATATCAACTCTGGCGAATCTGACTGAAGGCAAAATGACTAAGAAGAGGCAGCATGGAGGAAAGGGCCACAGCCATATTTTCTTTAGGATATTAATGCTGGTTTCACTTCCTTTCTGCCCATCACGCTACTTTGTTATGATGTGAGCACGTGTTTCCCTACGTCCTAATGTTTCTGAGTTTCCCAAGTGATAAGATATTACTGGGATTCTAGTCATAACATCAATACAATTTTTAATGACAATTAGTTTTTTTTCTTTCTTTCTTTAAGCTTGTTTCAAGGGTCTCCTAAGCATGATGTTCCGAAGAGCTCCGAGTGGCCCCGGGCCATGGGTTGGTTATCACTGCGGTGCACGCTCTCAAACCCTGCGGGTGGTGGAAGATGTTTCTCGGCTCATGAGAAGTTTACAGCCTCACAGGGGAGATAAAGTTCAAATTATGAATATTCACTACCTTATGTGCCATGGATTTGGTTCCCTCTTGACTTCCAACCTCTCCTCAACATCTTTTAGGTCTCTTAAATTTATAATAAAAATATCTTTCATTGGTATTGTACTTTTCTATTCATAAAGCTCTGTCATGTTCACAATCCCATGATCCTTGCAGCACCGCTAGCTCACTGCCTACTTACTCGTCTGCCTCATTAGCTGAAGTCAGTTTCTAAACCCATTAAACACATCTAGAATTCAGATGAACCACGTCATCCTAAAAACAACAACAAAAACACAATGCATCTGTAGAAAAGAGAGGACTGGCTCTGTTGTAGGACAGCAGTTGTTTGAGAATTGTATTTGGACTACAGAAGCTAATCTAAAAAATCTTTGATCATCCACTCATAAGTTCATTTGTAGATATCTGGGCCAGTTATCCTTTAATTCTTACTTTTTTGGCTTGCCCTCTTCAGAGCCATCCTAGAAAATGCATGATAGGGTGGCTCACTCCATGGGAGGGGAAAAATCAAATAAAGACTTGCCTGGCTTCCTGTTTAATTCACTACCTAAAATGTTCCTTTTAATCATATTAATGATTTTAAATTTTGTTACAAATAATTCCAATTAAAACTAAACAAGGGATCCTTTTCGGGATAGAAAAAGGGAGTTTATGGTTCAACATATGGCCTTTTAAAAAGGTAATTTAATTTTGTTTCCCTTCAAAGTGAAGGGAAGATTTCAAAGCTTTAAATTATTAGAATACTTGGCTTTTGGGAATATAGTAAGAGGATTACTTTTGGTTAAATTACTGGGACCATCCTTAATAATTCATAATAGCTACATCATTCATGACTTAAGATTGCCTTAATTAGAGAGGATTTTTATCTCATCTTACTTTTTACTATTAGCACTTAACTACCGTTTCAGTTTTCTCTTTGACACTATTGGCATCTAGAGCCATCTTTTCATGGGCCAGATACATAATTATTATTTATATTTGGATTTATGATGTTTAGAAAATATATAAAACCTAAAGGAAGAAGGTAACTTTCCTTGAAATTCATAGAAATGCATCAATTCTAATATTTTTGGGGTTTTGGCGATTTTAGTTTTACTTGTCTATCTAAAGAACAATGTGCTTTCTGACTATTTGGTTAAAGAAGCACATTAGAGAGAAACGTGGATTTGGGAAGAAATAAAATTTAGAATATTTCCAGGGATGTTTTAATTTGTTGACTCTCTACTGGATTGTTTATAATTGTCAGACATAAGATAATTACGGAATAAGTACTGACTCCATCCTTAAGAAAATTTACAGCTGTCATTGGCTATGCTCAGTCTCTTTCCATGTATTTCTTGTTTTCTTTTTTTTTTAAGATTTTATTTTTAAGTAATCTCTATACCAACGAAGAACTCAAACTCACAACCCTGAGATCAAGAGTCATCTGCTCTACAGGCTGAGCCCTCCAAGTGCCCCATCTTTCCTGGTATTTCTTGCTGAGGGTAATCATTTGCAAAGGTATCTGTATTTTGATACATGGACAAATGAAATATATTTTCGAATTACTTTCAGTATGATCAAGTCCGATTGTGAAAAAGGTGAATGCAACCATTCATGGGGTTGTAAATTATTTTAAGACTGAGAAAAGCAAAGTGCTACAGATTTCAAATTTGAAATCAATTACAGAACATTTAAAATGCAACCAAACTTATTTTGGCAAATGTTATTCACTGATATAGTAACCAAATTAACACCTTTGTTAGCAGAGAACACCTTTGTTTCAGTATTCTAAAAATGGAATAAGGCAAACTGGAACTTACTAAGAAAGCAACCCATAGTTTTTATGCTATGAACTCATGGTTTTTATGCTATAAAAGCCAAGATAACACCATGCAATAGATGCAATCCTGTTTCTTCAGGTTGGGTTCTCATGGATGTTTTCTATATACACTCAACATTGTGCATTAGTCCAGTAGTATTTTTTTAATGCACTATGATCGTAACCGGAGGTTTGTTCAATAAATTTGGGTTTTAGAGCTTGTTTTGTGTGCAAACATACTATCTTTGATTTAATTTTTTCTGACACCATGCCCACTGCACAGTAGAGAAAAAAGTGTAATTGTAGTTTTGTCCTTTATAGTACAGGACAAATAAATGTCAAAATCAAATGGTGGTATCCCCCAAGGGAAAACACACTTCGGTGATGAAATATTCTTCCTCACTTCCCATTGCTATTCCTCTGAACACCCAGGTGAAGCTGCCTCAGGACCTAATCAAATGCTACTAATTTGCATATAATAAAAACCTTGTCAAGAGATTTTAGACTGTTACAAGGGAAAGTGCATCACATCTCTAAAATGGTAAATTATGAAGATATGCATACATCTGTTCTGAACCTACAGTTTATAAACACTCAGAATAGTTTGACCAGACCAAATCAGATAGGAGCCCCTGCTTATGTTGATGTAACTGTCAGTTAAATTCTGTGCCTAATAAAGATCCTTGGAAGTGGCATACTGCTATTTCCTATGTTCTTGAAAATGCTGAGATATTGATAAAATGTCAGACTCCTTCTTGGGAATGACGATAACAATCAACTTTGCAAAGCAATCATTAAGGTAGCTTTTAAAAGAGTTATACGAACAAACAGTTTTCCTGGGAATTATTTGTATTTAGAATAGTACTTCTGTTTTTCAAAAATAACAGTTAACACAATAAATGTGAGGTTTTCTTGCAAGAATCATCCCCACCCCAAATTATTTGAAAGAATGTATTTTTAAATCATACGAATTATTTTAAATTATTATTATTATTATAAATTCTTTGAACTTTAGGCTTGTGGTTGTTTTGATAATTTCTGCAAATTTATCAGGTGGTTTAAAAAGGAAAACAGACTCATTTTGCAATATTCTTTTTGGATCTATAGGGTGAGCCTGAACCTTTTTTTATTACAGTTAACATCAAATTCACAAATACAAAGTATTAAATTTCTGTTCCCTAATCCTAACATTATACACAGAATTTTGAAAAATGTCTTCTGGAAATTATGGAAGCTACCTAAGCATTTGAAATGCTTGATTCTATTTTTTTTTTTTTTTCATTATGAAAAGGCTAAATCCCCTCTCTCCGAAAGTGAAATACTTAAGTGGTAAAGGAATATACTTGAATTCTGAGATAATCTCATGTTATTCAGTACTGTAGAGAGATACTAGTTATCATTTCATTGCATTTGACATGGGGCACAATAAATATTCCATTTTATGCAGCCACAATAAATATTGTTTTTAAGGACACAATAAATTACAGAGAATGATTTGCTGTTCAAAGGCCATATGGTCAGAAGGAAGAAGGCTTAACTGAAACATGAGGAGATGAGGGTAGCCAGAAATTTCCTGTCTAGGTTAGAACTAGAGATGTTACTCAGGGTCATTTTGGAATTTCTTATATTGAAGTTTTTGAAAGCACAATTGGTTCTCATTTACCAGTGATACCCTATCTGGAGGGAGAAGAACAGACTAGTATTTAGCAGTGTGTCAGTGGACTTTCATGTAACAAAGTTCATGTGACAAGAACTTAGT